CGTTATCGGTAGGGTAATTCCTTATTTATGAAGCTGATGTTTAGGTAAGGATGAGAGCGAATAAACACCACTGTAAAATGAGAGCGAATAAGCACCAACTGGACAAAAACAGGGTAGAATGGATGCATGGGGATGAAGTCATCCTCTGCTTCTGTGAGATTTTAAAGGCAAAAAAAAAAAAAAAAAACAGGTGTAACTGCTTTGCACATTCGCAAGCTGCCGAAGGTAACACAATAGAATTGTGTGCAGTTTTTGTGTAAATCCAATCGGACTTATTTGCTTCCACTTTCACCTAAGAGTCAGCTTCATAATTACGGAAGTCCCTTACTGAAGACGACTTTGTAAAACAAGTCCCACTTGCATAAGCTCACTTTTTGTTTGCTTTTGCTTTCTTTGCTTTTGTTCATAGGTTCCAGTTCTTTGATTTCGTTTGTTTTCATTTTATTCGTAAGTTTGTTTTAACGTACATTTCTTCATAGTGCTGTGTTGGCTCCTTTTTATGCGTTTTTGCCGTGCACCGCTAGAGCGCTGCAACAGGCAGAAAAACGCATATTGCAACGACCCCGTCAGTTTGTGTGTGTGTGTGTATATGTTTGTGTGTGTGTGTGTATGTTTGTGTGTGTATGTTTCTGTGTGTGTGTTTGTGTGTGTATGTGTATGTGTGTATGTGTGTATGTGTGTGTGTGTTCGTCTGTCCGGGTATTTTAACTCGCTTTGAAGCTGAAATTTTGCCAGTGTGTTCCCCAGCCAGGTATCACCCCAAGACAGCGGTTTCAACCCTTACGCACGTCTGGACCCCGCATACGAGCACGTGAAAGTTTTGGCGCAAAAATTGCTAACTTGGGGACGAGAGAAGCTGGAAAGCTGAAACCTTGGGAGAATGTTCCTTACCCATGTATGACAAAAAGATTTCAAATTCAGCTGCCCAGGAGTGCCCGAGGCTTACGTACGGGCACGTAAAAATTTTGGCGGGAAAATTCATAAGTCGAGAATGAGAAAAGCCAGAAAGTTGGAACTTTGGGGGAATGTTCCATACTCATGCACGACCAAAAGTTTTCAAATTCAGCTCCTAAAATTTTCACGTACGGGCACGTGAAAATTTTTGGCGTGAAATTTACTAACCAGAGAACGGAAAAAGCTAGAAAGCTGAAACTTTCGCGTGATGTTTCCTACTCATGTATGACCAAGATCAGGTGTTTAGAAGCGCCCGTGCCCACATGTGACCGCGTGGGAATTTTGGCGCGAAAATTACTAATCCGGGAACGAGAAAAGCTGGAAAGCTCAAATTTTAAGGGAATGTTCCCTAATCATGTACGAGCAAAATCAGGTGTTTAGAAGCACCCGAGCCCACATACGAGCGCGTGGAAATTTTGACGCGAAAGTTACTAACCCGGGAACGGGAGGAGCTAGAAAGCTGAAACTTTCGGGTGATGTTTTCTACTCATGTACGACCAAGATCAGGTGTTTAGAAGCACCCGTGCCCACATGTGACCGTGTGGAAATTTTGGCGCGAAAATTACTAACCCGGGAACGGGAAAAGCTGGAAAGCTCAGGCTTTAAGAGAATTCCCTACTCATATACGAGCAAAATCAGGTGTTGAGAAGCGCTCGAGTCCACGTATAGGCATGTGAAAATTTTGGCGCGAAAATTACAAACCCGGGAACGGGAAAAGCTAGAAAGCTGAAACTTTAGGGGAATATTCCCCACTGCTGTGCAAGCAAAATCAGATGTTTAGAAGCGTCGGGGCCCATACGAGCCCGTGGAAATTTTGGCGCGAAAATTACTAATCCGGGAACGGGAAAAGCTAGAAAGCTGGAACTTTAGGGTGACGTTCCCTACTCATGTATGACCAAAAGATTTTAAATTCAGTTCCTTAAAACTGTCCGGTACTCATGTACGGGCACGTGAAA